GAAAACCCTTGAGTCTGGCGCCTTAGACCGCTCGGCCATCCTGACATATTGACGTTATTCCTATTACAATAATTAAACAATTTTTCGAAAGTTAATGCCCCTGCAAGTTGAAAAGTATTTCAGTAATTCTGAAAAAATTAATATTTAAAATAAATTTTAAATTATTCAACCATTGAATAAAGTTTGCTAACATCAAATATAATAAATAATTTGAATAAGTTTCTTTTAGGGATTTAAACTCATTTTTGAGAAGGAACGGCGTTGAAATGTTATTTTTCGGTCAAACTGTTGGATAAAAATATTAAAAAAGCACTTGTCAGAAGTGGGATTCGAACCCACGCCCACTTTCGTGGACCAGAACACTCAGTTAACTCTGCTATCAGAGCAAGGAAAACCCTTGAGTCTGGCGCCTTAGACCGCTCGGCCATCCTGACATATTGACGTTATTCCTATTACAATAATTAAACAATTTTTCGAAAGTTAATGCCCCTGCAAGTTGAAAAGTATTTCAGTAATTCTGAAAAAATTAATATTTAAAATAAATTTTAAATTATTCAACCATTGAATAAAGTTTGCTAACATCAAATATAATAAATAATTTGAATAAGCTTTCTTTTAGGGATTTAAACTCATTTTTGAGAAGGAACGGCGTTGAAATGTTATTTTTCGGTCAAACTGTTGGATCAAAATATTAAAAAAGCACTTGTCAGAAGTGGGATTCGAACCCACGCCCACATTCGCGGACCAGAACACTCAGTTAACTCTGCTATCAGAGCAAGGAAAACCCTTGAGTCTGGCGCCTTAGACCGCTCGGCCATCCTGACATATTGACGTTATTCCTATTACAATAATTAAACAATTTTTCGAAAGTTAATGCCCCTGCAAGTTGAAAAGTATTTCAGTAATTCTGAAAAAATATTTAAAATAAATTTTAAATTATTCAACCATTGAATAAAGTTTGCTAACATCAAATATAATAAATAATTTGAATAAGCTTTCTTTTAGGGATTTAAACTCATTTTTGAGAAGGAACGGCGTTGAAATGTTATTTTTCGGTCAAACTGTTGGATCAAAATATTAAAAAAGCACTTGTCAGAAGTGGGATTCGAACCCACGCCCACTTTCGTGGACCAGAACACTCAGTTAACTCTGCTATCAGAGCAAGGGAAACCCTTGAGTCTGGCGCCTTAGACCGCTCGGCCATCCTGACATATTGACGTTATTCCTATTACAATAATTAAACAATTTTTCGAAAGTTAATGCCCCTGCAAGTTGAAAAGTATTTCAGTAATTCTGAAAAAATTTAAATTTAAATTTAAAATAAATTTTAAATTATTCAACCATTGAATAAAGTTTGCTAACATCAAATATAATAAATAATTTGAATAAGTTTTCTTTTAGGGATTTAAACTCATTTTTGAGAAGGAACGGCGTTGAAATGTTATTTTTCGGTCAAACTGTTGGATAAAAATATTAAAAAAGCACTTGTCAGAAGTGGGATTCGAACCCACGCCCACTTTCGTGGACCAGAACACTCAGTTGACTCTCCTATCAGAGCAAGGGAAACCCTTGAGTCTGGCGCCTTAGACCGCTCGGCCATCCTGACACGGTAATAAAACCCCTTTTAAAATTATTGATCAGTTTTTTTAAAACACACTATCGTGCAAGTTGTGAGTTATTTCAATAACTCAGAAAGTATCTATAACCCCATTATCTTAAATTAAAATATCATAATTTGTGATTTTCCGCTGTCCAAATAAAATAAAGGTTGTGAATAAGATTTTTATAGAGGTTTTAAGTTATTTTTGAAAACGAAATGGTGTAAAAATTTTACTTTTTGGCCATATTGTTGGATGAAAATATTAAAAAAGCACTTGTCAGAAGTGGGATTCGAACCCACGCCCACATTCGTGGACCAGAACACTCAGTTAACTCTGCTATCAGAGCAAGGAAAACCCTTGAGTCTGGCGCCTTAGACCGCTCGGCCATCCTGACATATTGACGTTATTCCTATTACAATAATTAAACAATTTTTCGAAAGTTAATGCCCCTGCAAGTTGAAAAGTATTTCAGTAATTCTGAAAAAAAATTCTGAAAAAATTAATATTTAAAATAAATTTTAAATTATTCAACCATTGAATAAAGTTTGCTAACATCAAATATAATAAATAATTTGAATAAGGTTTCTTTTAGGGATTTAAACTCATTTTTGAGAAGGAACGGCGTTGAAATGTTATTTTTCGGTCAAACTGTTGGATCAAAATATTAAAAAAGCACTTGTCAGAAGTGGGATTCGAACCCACGCCCACTTTCGTGGACCAGAACACTCAGTTAACTCTGCTATCAGAGCAAGGAAACCCTTGAGTCTGGCGCCTTAGACCGCTCGGCCATCCTGACATATTGACGTTATTCCTATTACAATAATTAAACAATTTTTCGAAAGTTAATGCCCCTGCAAGTTGAAAAGTATTTCAGTAATTCTGAAAAAATTAATATTTAAAATAAATTTTAAATTATTCAACCATTGAATAAAGTTTGCTAACATCAAATATAATAAATAATTTGAATAAGCTTTCTTTTAGGGATTTAAACTCATTTTGAGAAGGAACGGCGTTGAAATGTTATTTTTCGGTCAAACTGTTGGATAAAAATATTAAAAAAGCACTTGTCAGAAGTGGGATTCGAACCCACGCCCACTTTCGTTTACCAGAACACTCAGTTGACTCTCCTATCAGAGCAAGGGAAACCCTTGAGTCTGGCGCCTTAGACCGCTCGGCCATCCTGACACGGTAATCTAACCCCTTTTAAAATTATTGATCAGTTTTTTTAAAACACACTATCGTGCAAGTTGTGAGTTATTTCAATAACTCAGAAAGTATCTATAACCCCATTATCTTAAATTAAAATATCATAATAATTAAATGATTTTCCGCTGTCCAAATAAAATAAAGGTTGTGAATAAGATTTTTATAGAGGTTTTAAGTTATTTTTGAAAACGAAATGGTGTAAAAATTTTACTTTTTGGCCATATTGTTGGATGAAAATATTAAAAAAGCACTTGTCAGAAGTGGGATTCGAACCCACGCCCACATTCGTGGACCAGAACACTCAGTTAACTCTGCTATCAGAGCAAGGAAAACCCTTGAGTCTGGCGCCTTAGACCGCTCGGCCATCCTGACATATTGACGTTATTCCTATTACAATAATTAAACAATTTTTCGAAAGTTAATGCCCCTGCAAGTTGAAAAGTATTTCAGTAATTCTGAAAAAATTAATATTTAAAATAAATTTTAAATTATTCAACCATTGAATAAAGTTTGCTAACATCAAATATAATAAATAATTTGAATAAGCTTTCTTTTAGGGATTTAAACTCATTTTTGAGAAGGAACGGCGTTGAAATGTTATTTTTCGGTCAAACTGTTGGATCAAAATATTAAAAAAGCACTTGTCAGAAGTGGGATTCGAACCCACGCCCAATTTCGTGGACCAGAACACTCAGTTAACTCTGCTATCAGAGCAAGTGAATCCCTTGAGTCTGGCGCCTTAGACCGCTCGGCCATCCTGACATATTGACGTTATTCCTATTACAATAATTAAACAATTTTTCGAAAGTTAATGCCCCTGCAAGTTGAAAAGTATTTCAGTAATTCTGAAAAAATTTAAAATTAATATTTAAAATAAATTTTAAATTATTCAACCATTGAATAAAGTTTGCTAACATCAAATATAATAAATAATTTGAATAAGTTTTCTTTTAGGGATTTAAACTCATTTTTGAGAAGGAACGGCGTTGAAATGTTATTTTTCGGTCAAACTGTTGGATAAAAATATTAAAAAAGCACTTGTCAGAAGTGGGATTCGAACCCACGCCCACTTTCGTGGACCAGAACACTCAGTTGACTCTCCTATCAGAGCAAGGGAAACCCTTGAGTCTGGCGCCTTAGACCGCTCGGCCATCCTGACACGGTAATCTAACCCCTTTTAAAATTATTGATCAGTTTTTTTTAAAACACACTATCGTGCAAGTTGTGAGTTATTTCAATAACTCAGAAAGTATCTATAACCCCATTATCTTAAATTAAAATATCATAATTTGTGATTTTCCGCTGTCCAAATAAAATAAAGGTTGTGAATAAGATTTTTATAGAGGTTTTAAGTTATTTTTGAAAACGAAATGGTGTAAAAATTTTACTTTTTGGCCATATTGTTGGATGAAAATATTAAAAAAGCACTTGTCAGAAGTGGGATTCGAACCCACGCCCACATTCGTGGACCAGAACACTCAGTTAACTCTGCTATCAGAGCAAGGAAAACCCTTGAGTCTGGCGCCTTAGACCGCTCGGCCATCCTGACATATTGACGTTATTCCTATTACAATAATTAAACAATTTTTCGAAAGTTAATGCCCCTGCAAGTTGAAAAGTATTTCAGTAATTCTGAAAAAAAAAAATTAATATTTAAAATAAATTTTAAATTATTCAACCATTGAATAAAGTTTGCTAACATCAAATATAATAAATAATTTGAATAAGCTTTCTTTTAGGGATTTAAACTCATTTTTGAGAAGGAACGGCGTTGAAATGTTATTTTTCGGTCAAACTGTTGGATCAAAATATTAAAAAAGCACTTGTCAGAAGTGGGATTCGAACCCACGCCCACTTTCGTGGACCAGAACACTCAGTTAACTCTGCTATCAGAGCAAGGAAAACCCTTGAGTCTGGCGCCTTAGACCGCTCGGCCATCCTGACATATTGACGTTATTCCTATTACAATAATTAAACAATTTTTCGAAAGTTAATGCCCCTGCAAGTTGAAAAGTATTTCAGTAATTCTGAAAAAAAAATTAATATTTAAAATAAATTTTAAATTATTCAACCATTGAATAAAGTTTGCTAACATCAAATATAATAAATAATTTGAATGAATCAAGTTTCTTTTAGGGATTTAAACTCATTTTTGAGAAGGAACGGCGTTGAAATGTTATTTTTCGGTCAAACTGTTCAGAAGTGGGATTCGAACCCACGCCCACTTTCGTTGGACCAGAAATCAGTTATTTTTCGGTCAAACTATTGACGTTATTCCTAACAATAATTAAACAATTTTTCGAAATATTTTTTTGGATGAAAAGTATTTCAGTAATTCTGAAAAAAAATATTAAAAAAAAGCAGTTTGTCAAATATAATAAATAAGAAGTGGGATTTTTCGAACCCACGCCCACGCCCATTCGTGGACCAGAACACTCAGTTAACTCTGCTATCAGAGCAAGGAAAACCCTTGAGTCTGGCGCCTTAGACCGCTCGGCCATCCTGACATATTGACGTTATTCCTATTACAATAATTAAACAATTTTTCGAAAGTTAATGCCCCTGCAAGTTGAAAAGTATTTCAGTAATTCTGAATATAATAAATAATTTGAATAGTGGATGAATAAAAAGTATTTTATTAATGACTGAAAATTTGAACAAGATATATATAGGGAGAGTGTGAGCTAATAGAAGGAATTATATAACCAAGAACAACGCCTAATTTGACTGAATTTTTTAAAACTAATTTCGTGTGAGTTTAAATCTCATTTTTTCCATTCCTTCTTTTAGCTCACAATTATATCACAACCTTCTATTAGCTATTTTTAAGGAGATAAAATTAAAGTGATCTTTTATAAGAAAGAAAAATATTTGAAATAAATGTATTTTGTACTCAATTTATATTTTTAATTCATTTATAATAATGATTAAATAAAAGAATTATCTTTCGTGAAAAAAATAATACATTAAACAATATAATTTTAAATTAAAGTGCACGTTATTCTGGTTTAATTAATAATCCTTACTTAAATTACTACTTAATTGTACTTATCCTGATTAAATACTATGTCGTGTAATATTAAATTATTATTATCAGATGTACATTTAACATCCATATTAAATTAGCATCTGATAATGGTATCTCACTCATGGTTCAATGGTATCGTGCTCTGCAATAGCTGCTTTCAGAAACAAGAAGTTGATGGCGATTATACCAGCAAATGTAAGCATCTCGCAGCCACAGTAAGGCTGCATAGTGATAACTTTTATTGATTTCTCTCAAAAAAAAACACGCAAATAGGAGCAATTTATTTTGAAAGCACTTACAGAAAGCAACGTCTTTCCATTGCGGTCCGTGGTGGGCAGTTTATTATATGCATAAGTTGAATACTACAAGTCCATCAATATGAAAAGGGGAGAAAAAATATGTACTACTGTGTCCAAAAACTAAGACCAATTTTTAATTTAAAATTTCCGGGGCTTAGGGAATTTCAAATTTTTTTTTTTCTTCCTTTCTTTTTTAGGTTGCTGGCACTATCCTTGACATCTGTGTGAAATATTCATTAATGTTCGAGTTACGCTATTCGGTGAGCATTCTTATAACGGAAAGAAATGTTTAGAAGTGGTATAAACAGTTCAAAGAAGGCAGAGAACGCGTTGAAGAAGAAGAGCCCTCTGGTCGACCATCAATCTCAACCGACGAAGCTCAAGTACAAAAAAATTAAAGATTTGGTGCTTACAAACCGTCGATTTGCAATTAGAGACCTTGCTGATGATATTGGGATTTCAAAAGGAACGGGCAATTCCATTTTGGGCCTCAAACGCTTCAAATCTCGATTGGTACCGAAAACACTAAATGCGCCAGCTCACAATGCAGTGATTCTTCGTGACTTTTTCGCCAAAAATGAAACCCATATCTTTCCACAATCACTGTATTCACACCGTGCGACTTCTGGCTATTCCCTAAACCCAAAAGGCCACTCCGGAGACACCGTTTTGAATCGATTGAAGAGATTCAACGGGAATCGTCGCGCGCTTTGAAGTCCATCCCTGCCGATAACTTTTTAGCAAGCATTGAAGATGGGAAAAAAAGTTGGCAAAAGTGCATTGTGTCCGGAGGGGATTACTTTGAAGGCGTTGAAATAAATTTGGAAGAATAAATAAAGAGTTTTTGAAAAAAAAAAATTGGTCTTACTGTTTGGACACTGTAGTATATGCAATAGGCTGATTGCTGTTTTATTTCTCAGATTGCAAACATGAACTATTTCTTGATGATACATCAATTTTTATTATAAATTATTAAAAATATTCTATTTTCCAGTGTCTTTTAATACTGATATGCTGTTATGCGACAACTTCAATTTGGATTCCATATCAGCCAAATTTTTTAACATTAGCAATAATTCGAAATTATAAACTTAGGAATTTGAAAGCAAGAGATGTTATTATTATATAATGGCTTGTGTCTATCTCTTTTTTATTTTTTTTATCTGTATTCTTGTTGTATATATATATATTTTTTAATTATTATTATTATTATTTAAATTATTTTTATTTATAAAGAAGGATTCAGAATAAATTCTTTACAATTTGCCAAACGATCACTAATAATAGTTAACAGATGTTTGGCAAGAGATTGATTTTTCAAACGATATTTTTTAATGATAAGTTTCATCGTAACTAATTTTTCTTTCTTTTATTCAAATCGAACTACAACACCGATCCTTATTTACAAATAATTTTAATATATTATTTTTTTTTTTTTATCTCCAGGAATTGACTTATCATTTAAAAAAGGTATAATAAATGTTCGCTAAATTACGAATTCTTTTTTTAATTTGAAAATATTTGGCACACTTAATAAGAAAAAAAAACCTCCCCGGCGGGGAATCGAACCCCGGTCTCCCGCGTGACAGGCGGGGATACTTACCACTATACTACCGAGGACACGTTGTTCTCAACGTCCTTAGAGTAAAATATTACGTCAAGGCCGAAGTTTGTGATTACATAGAACACATCGACTTATAAGCATAATCAAATAATAAATTATGAACATATCAATGATTAAGTAATTTAATTAGTCTTGATCTATTTTATTCAATTCCTTCTATTTACTCACACTCTCCCTATATATATCTTGTTCAAATTTTCAATGATTAATAAAATAATTTTTATTCATACACTCAAGTTTAAATACATTTTTTTTTTGAAGTTGTAGTGGAGGACACTTGATGCTAATACAGTTTTTTTCAAATATTAATTCATTAATTAAATTTAGTTTTTTTTTAGATTTAAGTTGCATATATCTACCAATAGATGGCGCCCGATAAACTTAAAAAAAATTAATGAAAATTATTTATAAAGGGCATTCTGCAATAGAGTGAAAAAAAAGTAGAAATTGACTTTCAAAATTTTATTTTTATATTACTTGTTTTAACTCTTAGTTTATTCTCTTGGTTGGTGGGTTTTCTTGGAGCAAGGGCCGTATTCAGTCATTCCGCCAAGTCCTTTAGCTTCATATTCTATTTCATATTTTTTATTCTTTCAACGTTTCAGTACGTTAATAAATTTCAAAAATAAAAATATATTCTCATGATAATTATCTTCCAGAATAGTTTTTGTTTAAATTGTCCATTCACTAAAATTGAAGAATTTAGGAGTGTCTATTTTATTAATAAATTATTTTAATATTTTTTTTTCCTTTTATTTATAAAACACAATACAGTATAAAAAATTTAATACTCAAATAGAATCTGAATTTTTTTCAATTTTGAAATGTTATTTAAGAATATATGTAAAATTCGACGATTCAATGTAGGTGAGATATTTTGGTCTCCTGTTTAATATACTTAGCACTGTCTGACAATAAATATTACTACAGTCAATAAAAAGGAAGAAGTTTGTGTATTGATGCCTTTCTTATAATATAAGAACAGTAACCGTTATTTATTTTTTACTGAATTAATTTTATTTGTTATTCTATGATGCATACTCAGATATCTCGAAAAAATTATCGTTAGTTATGTTTTAATTAAATAAAAATTCTTTTTTTTTTTTTTTTATTTTTAAACTGTGAGTTTATTTCATTTTTCGTACCACTTGGTGACGTGATAACTTGAATCTATTATTCTTTTTTTTTTTTTTTTTCAAATCTACTATTATAAAATGTTTTTATTTAAATTCTTTTTATTTATAAAGAAGGATTCAGAATAATTTTTTTTCACTATTTGCCAAACTATTACTAATGTTAAGTTATCTGATGTTTTGCATCGGAGATTTTCTCTTGAATCATTTTTTTTTCCACCGATATTTTTTCTTGATAAATTTTATCAAAACTTTTTTTTTTTCCCAAGTCGGATTACACCGGCCCTTATCTACTAATAATTATAATACATGTATTTTTTTTCTTCTTTTAGTTGTACTTGTATTCATATCGTATATAAATGAAATTTGAATTACATTTCTATTTAATTTTTTAATCCTACACAATATATTAGAGTTGGTAGTATTTTGGTGAATTACTATGTATAGTAAGTTTCAGAAATGGTAGTATGTAATAATCCGTTCTGACTTATTCTATCAAGTATTAGAACTTAGGTATGAAATTTTATGTGTTTCAAAGGGCTAAAGTTCATACCTGTAGCCATTCTGTGTTCGTCTATAAAAGTTATTCACTTGTTTATTACAGATGTACTATTAATTGTATTTCACACATGAAATTGGAAATAAATACAGTTGTTATTGGGTTATACTCTCTTTTTTTTTTTTTTTTTTTTTTCGTATTTCGAATTTCTGTATTTTTTTTATGAATTAATTGTTAAATTTTAAATAATTGAAATAATATTCTGAAATCAGTTTTGTTTCAAAGTAAGAAAGATCGTCTAACTTTATAATAGCATATTATACGGGCGAAAACAGAAAAATGCCATTAGACAGTTAAAATTGTTGTTGTAACACTGTCATTTGTAGGAATCTTACTCGGGCAATAAAAATTATAACCATGCTTCCTCCTACGCACTGTAAGATGGCCCCTTGAAGTGCTCAGAAGAAATGATCAGTAAGCTTCGAGATTGTCACCCAAGAGGTACAGCGCAACCATGCATTTCTGTTCAAAAAATATATTTAACTCAACCCTGTGCATTAATTAGCCTACAGACTCTCACCCGGAGAGGAAGTATATTTCGCGCATAACAGAGTATGGGGTTTTCGTCTTAGAAGTGGCATTCTTCCACTAACCTATTATTATATGTTTTTAAATATGTTAAATATTGCAGGTATTTAATTGTATGTGTGTGGTATTTGGGTGTGTGTCAATAAAGCTGAGTTCTCCAACCTATTTTTTAACCCTATTAACATTTCAACCCAACCACACCCAATTAAGATGCAGTTGCCCTACCTGCGCACAACAAAATTAGTATTAGAATCAAAGGAAAATTCGATCATCCAAAACAAAACATATATGCTAATGAAAGGCTTTATTTTTCATAATAGTCACTCATCATTTTGA